CCCCAAAACCCCAAAACCCCAAAACCCCTAACAATTAAAACCCCGTTGAAATTTATCAAATGTTCAAAAATATGCAGAGGAACCATAAGCACAAATTATTTCTAGGTGCAAGGACTAATCGGAAGGAAGTAGGAGATATGTTTAAGATTGAAGTTGACCAGCCAGATGAGTCTGATTTGGAGGTTGGAGAGGATGATAGTATAGGTGCCTTACTTTTGAGAAACAAGGAATTTTCAGATATCAAATTTGAGTTGATCAATAATGGAGTAGGGACAGAAATTAAGGCCCATAAGGCCATAATGGCCTTATGCTGCACAACTTGTAAGGATGCCTTCAAGGACTGGGAAAATTGTGTCAAGAAGAAGTTTTAACAACCTTAAGATGAGACACCAGAAGATGAGAGGTGAGTGTGCTGAATCTAATAATTCTTCAGAGTCAATGGAGAAATCCCAAAAGACGAGTTTGTCCTCCGATTCCGAAAGAGTTCAATCCGAGTGATCACAGTCAGCAGTTATAGATTGAGATGAAGATGAATTCTTGAAAAAGCTTAATCAACCTCAGAAAATTAAGCTTAAATGAATCGATCCTAAGAGCATGAGGAAATTTTTGAAATTCTGATACTTAGGAAGACTATCCATGGAAGAACTTGAAAAGTACGAAAGCGACTTATTCTCACTTGGTGATAGACTCGGATGTTGAAAGATTTTTGAAGAGCTTGATAAAATACCTGTCAAACTTCCAATCCAAATATCGACTTCTTTGAAGGCTCTCTTAAACCCCCAAGCACCTGATGAAATAAAGCAGGCGGCACTAGATCTCTTCCAGATGAAGTCAGGGAATATTCTATCAAAACTGAATCTTGGGTGCAACAAGAAGCGGATTCATAAGAACATTAAGAAATTTGAGGAACTTTTGCAATTGGATGAGCTCTCACTAGATGAATCTACTATTCTTGACATAATCTTAGAGCTTCCCAAAATTATAGGGATTAAGAGAAGGAAAGAGCAGAAGAAGTTTGTAGATAGGCTAATCGACTGAGTCCGTTGGACAAGAGTTGGAATGAAAGGATACATCAAAGCATACCAATCTGACCTTGTCCGGCATGATATTATACAAGAGAACGTAGTTTCCTGTATTAAAAGATCAGCTGTTGGAGGTGAATATTATGGCCAATACGGGCTTCCAAGATGTACTTTTAAGTCAGTCAATTCTGAGATATCCACAGTCAAGCATAACCTAAAAATTTTTGTATATAGCGAGTTTGCAAAAGAGAATAGGAAAGCTTTCAAATTTCACAGCAATCCGAAACCAGGAGAGATGGTGTGCTTCCAGTTTAGAAGAGATTTCAAAATGGCTAAGGTCAGAATCATCAGCCAAGGCTATGCAGATGCGATGATCTCAATCGAAGGTAGCCATGATGAGAAGAACTGGACGAGAATGAGTATCTTAAGGCACACCAAGGACTCATGTGAGATTGAATGGCCGCCAAAATACCAATTCAGATACTGGAAGATCTCCACAATAGAAGGGCCTAACATGAAATGATGGTTTAGCTACGTCGAATGGTTTGTTAAGAGTCTTGATTTCGTAGAAGATCCAACTTTCGAGCCTGAAAACGACAGAGACAGAGATAATACAGAAATTGATTCAGGAGAGGAACAAGACCAAGAAGATGATGAAGATAACCAAAATAACCAAACCGACCAGGATCAAGGCCAAGACCAAGATGAACAGAAGGAACCTGAAGAAGACATAGAGGCTGATGATGAGAGGAATGATCAGAGTGACTCAAATCAAGTCCCACCCAAAAACGATAAAGAAGGTGGAGAAAATAAATAATTCTCCATAATTTAGTAAAAATCCAGAATTTTCTTTGATATTGAAGGATTCTCATTTTGATGAGTTGTTATTTGGTTTTAAATTTTGGACTTATTTGAAAACAGCTTCCGTCAAAGAGTGCTTGTACATGTCAAACCTTGAGCTATTTGCAAAGCTATCCAAGAAGGCTTCTATGTTCTTTGAGGATATACATAATACTATTAAGGTCCATATTGAGGGAAATCCTGAAGTCGAGTCAGAGTCTGAAGAGGAAGAAGAAGATCAGAATACCTTAAATGCAACTGATCTTCAAGGATTAGCAAATCTTCTTAGCCTAGTTCAAAACAACCAAAAGCAAGAAGTTCAAGAGGAGGAAGAGGAAGAAGTTAAAGCAGAACCTCCAAAAAGAAAGAAGAAGTCGGTTGACTCTGAAGCTCCAAAGAAGCCATTAACTTCATTCTTTCAATATTCTCGCGATGTGACTCCTGAGTTGAAGAAGCAGAATCCTCAGCTAAATATTACTGAGATTGCGAAACTAGTTGGAGCAAGATGGAAGAGTCTTCCTCAAATCGAAAGAGACAGATACAAACAGCAGTATGATGCTAAGCATGCACAGTACTTGAAGGAGATGAAGGATTATAGCGAAGGTAAAAATAAGTCTTCTAACTCAATATTTGGATACACAAACCAGAACAATGATGTTATTTTGCCAGATAGTTTAGAAGAAGGAAAGGAAGAAACTAATGTTGAAATGCAAAACATCGATCAGACCCAAGGACTTAGCACAGACATAAACACAGCTAATCAGACAGCTAATGTTAGCCTAAGCTTTGACAACATTAATATACCTCCGAACCTCACCAACTAAGTTTCAGAATCTGACTGAAAAGCAACTGAATTAATGTAATTTTCAATAAAAGTATATCTCACAGGGGTTTTGGGGTTTTGGGGTTTTGGGG